GAAGCTTTACACGGCCAGAACGGGGCTTGTAACGGAATTGTGGTGATCAGCAGCAAGGCATCAGTGGAGTCGAGGGCCCATTCTTGCAAGAACCTCTAAGTCCACAGCATCTCGGACGAAACAGGGGACCCTTGGCCATCACTGACTGTTATTACTACGGGAGGTTGGCTCCGTAACGCCAGGCCCTTGGCGTACGCGAACGACTGGACAACGATGACGAAGTATCGCAATATGCAGGAAAAACGTGATATTTCGCAGCAACCATAGCATCATGCACGGCTGAACCCACATTTCCAGCGTCCCAAAGTCTCAGAGATGCCTCCAAAATGAAGATGAGGCGTGTACAGTCCGGCATACACCCAGGCCACGGATCACATATCCGACGGTAAGAGATGAGAAATGAGGGGGATAGCCTATCCTTCTCAACAGGTCTAGGCTCTACCGCAACTCGGAATGCACGATTGCTCTGTCCTTTTCCCTTTTCTCTGCGTCTTTCCTCTGCGCCATCGTATCCACTCCCTGATTTTAGCTGCGAGAAATTAGCAGGGACATCCTTGCCAGTCAAAGGACGCCTACCATTGGCCAGCTGCTAGATCAAGGAACGAATGCTGGACAACTTGAGCTCATGCCTTTGACGGTTGCAACATGAACAGCCCAGCGAGCCTAACTGTGTGTTACGAAGCAGCACCTACGGACGGCAACATACCGAGGTTTGTACCATGTCCGCCCCTGCGAAAAGATTGTCAGGGATCATCGATGACAATGCTATCACGTGTCGAATGTGGCGGCAATCAGGTATCCAGTTATTAATACGATGAAGTGCAGTACATACGAGTCGCCGCTTGAAGTCGCATGCGGTAATGCCGACTAGAGAGCAAGTTGCTCGCTTACCCCGGCTGAGGGCGTTGGCTGTCTCAATAGCCGACACGACCATCACGCGAGCAAGCCGAGCAAGCTGATGCATTCATTGTGTCCTGAGAGATGCCAACCCAAAAAGAGAATCCGAAGTGAAATGCTTTGACAGACGGCGCAATGTAGCTGCAGGCTTTATTAGTGACGGCTGACTACATGGCAGGCTGGCACGGACCGACGATGGCTTTCCCCAGACAAGGGATGCGGCCGAATCAGGCAACAGATCGACGTCAACAGCAAAAGATACGATCGCATCATTGGCCACGGCCATTTCCATACGGAGTACTACAGGCTCTAGTTAGGGCACTAGATGAGCTGCTACTAGCTAGGTACACTTGGTCCAATGTCGGCATATCGCAACGCAGTCATTTGAGACTGATACACCCTCATCGCAGGGCATCGGGTGCCTCGATTACCCCTACCCACCGGGGACTTTTACCAAATGGTGTAGTTAGCATGCGCACCACGGAGACGACACCCCCGCCGATCACGAGTAGCGAGAGCGTACCACAAAACCCAACAAGGCCATTCGATTTCAACGAGTTTCATCTGGCTGCCTGTAATGAGTAAATCATGGCTAGAAACAGCGCAACCCATTGGACGCCTGACCTCTACACTGCCAGCCTTGGCAACGCCAGCACCAAGACCAAAAAAGGTTCCGGGTACTCTCTGCTTAAGCGCAGTCACGCCGACGCTTTGTCATTGAGTGCAGAAATGGGGGATAGGCAGAGGTCTCAGAGGCTTCACCGACACAAGACACGGCGGTGACGCGATCTGTGCTGTTGCCTTGACTTCTTCCTTCTCTGTGGGAGACTGAATAGCCTCGGGACATGCCCGAGCTGCCGTGTTACACGGATTGCCACAAACAGACAGACAATGTATGGGTATGGGACTGATGTATTGAAACATCACCAATGTCGTCGGTGTCCTTTGCTAGTTTCGGGCGTTTCGGCCGACCAGGATGCTACCAGAAAGCTGCGCGGCAGATTGCGGAGGCAGCACAAGGCCGAGAAACTACAGATTGTCTCATTATCTTGCTCTCGAACGGACTTTGGGAAGTCCGATGCTGATTTCGGGCTCGAAGATGACCGAGTATGGCGACGAGAGCACGAAAAGGCGTTGCTAACGAAATTTTGACGCTTACAAAGATGATGGTCTCAGTATGGAAATAAACACCTGTACGGCGCGCCTGATGCTGCAACCTGGACGGGCTACCGCTGGCAGGAGGGGAGAGTGAGCAAGGATGTGGCATGCTTGCTGTTGCAGACCATTCGTACGGTTGCGCCACGTCCGAGACAACCCCCGCGCCTCCCGGGTCAAACTGTGTTCCAGCCACACGGCAATATTCGAGGCCGAACGGGCGGCCGTGGTCATGCCTCCATCCGGGAATGTTTGTCTGGCCCGTCCGCCACGATGCTCGGCCGTCCGGGATGACCCCGGTTGCCGTCGGCCGGTGGTGCCGGGGACAAGACTACATACAGCAAGCGGCATCTCCAGCTTCGCTTAGCAACTCACGGGCAAGCTTGGGCCATGTTGCATGTGGATGTAAGCTGCTGGTCAGTGCCTGGAAAGGTGAGGGAGTGGAGGCTATCGTTCTTCGCATTACAATTTCTGATGACAGATTCGCTTATTCGTGAGGCTCCATATGCTCCGTTTCCTCTGCTGGTATCTTGCTCATGACCTTGCTCGTCTCGTTTGAGAATACACGCTATCGATTGCTAAATACAGATTAGACAGGGTACGAAAACTTGCGCGCGCCGCCGTCTCATGTTGTAGAAAACCGGACGAGACGCCGTGGCCGGGGGTTTCAAGCTGTCACAATTCACATTTTCGTGGTCGTCCGCCTCGCAACAAGGTTCCTCCCTCGCTGCCTGGCAATAGGCCGGGACACACGGACGACGACGATCTTGACGAAGGCTGGCGATTTCTTTGCCTGCCGGCCCCGTGAAACGGTTGCTCAGTGAACTTGCGACGGCGACCTGGTCACATGGCGGCGGCGGAGGCGGCTTGACAGGCAGAGGCAGGGAAGGGCAGGGAAGGGCAGGGAAGGGCAGGGTAGGGAAGGGGAGGGGGAAGGGGGCAGCGAAGGACGCGACGCCTCTCGCTGCCCACAGCCAGCACGTGTACGCGTAAGTGTGTGCGTTGTTACGTGTGTGGTGTATGGTTGTATGGCTATATGGTGTATGGGGAGATGTGTGTTTACAATAACTTATCAGAATCAGGAGGGCCAAACTTTGAAGCTCGCTAGCTTCTAGAAGGAATCAAGACGCGGGCTGGAGATCCTAGCGCAGGTGTCTTGGGGTCTGCACATCGAAACTCAATATTCTCCTATTCCGCAATCTAATATTAAAGGGCTGGCTGGTTTTAGGGGAAACATGCCTGGACCTCGGAGTTTATACCTGCCAACCAGGACGTGGCAAGGGTGATCCCTGGGCATGAAGCGGAGGTCCTTGTTGATGACCACAGACAGACTAAGCGACCAGCCAACTAACTCGTGAACCCCCCGCCTCCCCCCCTCCCCCGTCCGTCCCGTGCTTGGCTTGGTCAAGTAACTAACTACGTACGTACAGTTTATTAGGGATAATTAGTGAGTTGAGGTTTTGGTTGAGAAGAAGATGGTAGGTGTGAGATTTAGGTTCCGGCGATGATCCGGGATGCTACCCTCTGGGCGGTTCAAAGAGGTTTAGCCTGGGAGAGGGTCGCGCAATTCCCAATTATTTTCTTATCACGTTGCGGCCGCGTTTTTTTTTTTGTTCTAGAACAATGAGGCTGGGAAGCGAGATTGGAGGATCGCCATGCCAAGACTATAAGGCGGCGGCGTTGGCAACTAGTCAAAGGCAACGAGTTTGACCGCTGTCTTGCCGTGATGCTAACTGGCGAAGAGGAAGGGAAGTGTCAAAGTCTGAGCGTCATGTTTGGTAAGTAAGTTGCTGAAGCGGAAAGCGACTGGATCTATACTGATTGAAACGCGAGGAAAAAGAAGCATCACCCGGCTCCTTGCCTTGGCTTGAAGGGAGCTCACGGGCATTTTGAGGAGAACTTGTCAGTCAAAGAAATGGAAGAAAACCAACCACTGCCCTCTCCCTCCCTCTTTTCCTGCAGGTTTCGCCGGATCAACTGCCGAGATAGTATGATGACTGGTAAGCAGGCTGGGGGCACAACAGCCACGCCAGGCAAAGCTTCTAGGCAAACACGGCAACTCGATTGGCCTTGCGAGACAAACAAAAAGACAAAATGCAAAAATGCAAGAAAAAAGTTAAATACAAAAAATAAAAAAAAATAAAAAAACAACCCTGCGAGGTTACAACGTGAAGCAAGATGGGGGGAGGGAGGGGCGTGAGGGAAGGTGAGAGTGGAATTCATCCAACACTGCAAAGCACCGCCACTAACAAGGGTAGAAGAAGATGCCTGTTATTCTGAGATGCGGCCAGGGTTTGCAAGATGATACTTTTCCTAGGAACGAAGAGGCAAGATGACGTGATGCAAAGGTGTTTGTTTACGAATACCTCTTGTCCAATGGGACAACAACCTCCTAGTAAGTTGTACATGGATGCTTTGCAATTGAGTTTGCCTTGCTTGCACATCCGCTGAGGGGAACCAGGCAAACCCGGCTGTGTTTTCGTACCTGCTCTCATCCACACTGATCGAAGCTTACAAAACGGACAAGAAGAAAAAAAAAGCAAGCGTGCTGGCCGGCCAAGGAAGCTTTCCGCCGGCGGCGAAACTCTTTGCGCTTCCCAGCCCCTCCGCGCCAGGCTTGTCGGACTCAACCAACAACCAAAGATGAAGGGGGTCGTTTGGCTGCTGTCGGACGTGTTGGTTTGGCTACATGTTAACCGGACCCAATCCGCAAGTTCGACAACTTGAACGGTAAGTTGAATTGTAAATTTTTCTTGCTGTAGCTGTAGCTGCTGTTCTTTCTTTGCTTGTTTTTTTTTTCTGTGTTTCTGCTCTTTCTGTCCTTGCTGCTCTTGCTGCTCCCGCTGCTCCCACTGCGCTTCCTGTCCTTCAGCTCTCCCTTTCCCCTCTGTCCTCCCTCCCCTCCTCTTCCCCTCCAAACATTCAATGCTTTGCGAATCAAAAGGGCCATGTCTCTGAGATTCAACGAAGACATGGCCTGGGGCCTTGTCAATGTCACCATAGACGCGGCCAAGATGGTCACTTTCAACCCCGAGGTGGCTCCGCCTCAAAGCTTCCACGCAATCCACATGGTCATCCATTCGCTGAGTATCTTGTCGCATCTTGCAAGACCTCCAGCAGTGAGAATTTCAATCGATGTAGTACTAGAGGTTATCCTGCTCATCATCACCTCCATCATGTCCCAGAGTCCATGGGAGCAGCTACGCCCCATCATAGAGCTCCTTGGTGATTCGCATGTCAAGGACGGCGATTTAATCCAGTTCCAAGAGAGGCTACAAGACATCAAGACGAATGTGAAGCATTTCAAGGACGTGGTCAGGGCGCACAACGACGCGCCGCCCAGCAGCAGGGGAGAATCTTGGCGAACCGTTCAACATCACTACACTGGCCTCCTGGCAGATATGCGAGACGCCATTCCTCATTTTCAAGTGACAGAGAAAGCCGTGGTGTCTCTTCCCTTGTTCAGCGCGGTGGCCAACATTCAGCTCCTGATGCTAGCCGAGGGAATCCGCAGCGGAGAATCATGGGGGTTTGCGGCGCGGGACGTGAGGGAACTCTTCAGGGGCGAATTCGAGGAAAGGGTAGGGCTCGGTGCCAAGCCGCCAGAGATCAGCCGGAGAGGCATCGCGCGTCGCAACCTGACGGCATCGCTCTCGGGCGGGGCAGCTCGCAACATGACGGTATCACTCTCCAAGACGTCACGCGAGAAGAGGCAGATGGAGCTCCTCTCCGAGGCCATGGCGCAAGGAAAGGCCTCGGGCTGGTCGCCGGAGCTGCTCGAAACGTGGAAGCGGGCGTACTCGGCCCGGACCGTGCGAGTTCCTGCCGGAAGGGAGGAGGATGAGTATCCGAGGTATGCGCGCAACAAGTACGATCAAGGCCGTACCAAAGTCCGGCCGGCGCGGAAGAATTACATACTTGGAAGCCGAGGGTGGAAGAACACGCGGGTTCTGCAGCCGCTGGCGGAGTACGACGCGGTGATGAGCATGACGGCGCTCATGTACAGCGAATACTGGCCGTACCTGGTGGGCGACGCCGAGGTGCCGCAGAGGGTGCTGCTGAAGATGGACCGCGAGATCTATGCCGGGCCTTACGGGCTGTGGGCCAATGCCGCCGAGGTGCCGTGGAGTGTGCAGCTTCCGTCGCCGACGCGGGCACGCCCCGGACGGATGGCGTCGATGGTGGTCCGATCCGACCACATCGTCAACTCGGTGCAGGTCAAGTTTGGTGACGGGTGGGAAGCGGTGCAGGGCAACGACAAGATGGGATCATCGTATCTGATTGACCTCGACCCGGACGAGCACATACACACCGTCGACGTGGCCGGCAAGTTCTCGGGGGCGCGCACCGAGCTCCTGGACGGCGCCTGGGGACGCACCATCGAGGCGCTGCGCTTCAGGTCCAACAAGGCCGCCTACGGGCCGTACGGCCGCGGCATGTGCACCGTCTGGGCCAAGGAGCTGGCTCGCAACGCCAGCTCCTGGGGCCTCCCCGTCAGCCGCGCCGGCTACCGCCTGTCCAGTGTGCAGCTGAGCCGCACGCTGCCCGCGTCGGAACCGAGGCTGAACAGCGCCCTGGGGATTATCCTGCGGCCGTTGAAAGATCGGTCTCCTCTCTTGAGTTTCATCTTCTCCTTCCATAGGCGGGCGCACTGTCACGAGAGCTACGGCCACAATGCAGTCTACTTTGGCTTCCGGTCGATTCTATTGGAAGCTGTCCCGGAGACGCCGACCAACGGGACGGGGACTGCGGGATCGGCTAATGGGACTTTTGGGGAAAGATGGATAGGGAATGACATGCTGGTTTGAAGAGAGGTGTACAGGGCTTTGTTTGTTTTATTTTCCTTGATTTTTTTTTATTTATTCTTTTTTTAAAAATGACAACTCTTGCTGCGTTGAAGCCCACTTTCACACCCCATCGTCCCATGCATCGTCACCCGTAATAACTCAAGATTTTCCTTGTGCAAGAGATGAAGGGACGAGCCGAGCTGAAAGTGACATTCCTCCGTCGTTCTATAGGCGCTTTCGAGCTCATGCGAGGGCCGCAGTCGGCAAAGAAAACGCACGATGGCGTCGTCGGGTGTGGACTGTGTACTTGGCGACCAACAGCCACCTGCCTCGCGTGGCTGGGGTGGGATGTCCGAAGAGGGATGGACGACTTACAAAGACATTATTCGCAATAATTGTCAGATATCAGGGATCGAGAGGAGAATACTTTACAGAACTGGAAATATCAAGGATCGAGAGGGAAAATACTTTACAAAACTGGAAATATCAGGGATCGAGAGGGAAAAATACTTTACAAAACTGGAAATATCAGGGATCGAAGAAGAAACGACGAGGCGCAGCGCTGAAACTCGATCTGATCAAGGGAATCCATCTCTCATAATTTACATGTGGTCGAGGTTTCAGGATCGTCCGTATAAAGTTCCTCTCATCAACACCGCACAGCCCGACAAGGGCCTCCAGCTTCCCCAGGGCCTCTTTTCGCCCCTTTGAGATCAAAAGGTTCGTCTCAGAAAGAGTGCACTTTTTTTTTTGTGCCCGCCGGAGGTTCGGCCCAAGATCCACGACCGATCCATGGGGGGTCATGAAAAAGGGGGGGGGGCAATGCTGCGAGTTCCACGCCTCAGCTTCCGTGCTCAACGGATGGAATGGAGAAAAGGAGAATGTATCGGCATGGGATATCAGTGGGACGGCCGTGATAGATTGCTCTCAACAAATGTCCTGTATGCGACAAGAAGAGACGGACGGACGAGACCCGAAGCATCTCGTCCTTGTGGCCCCCCCCGGACCCCCTGCTGTTGGATCCGCGGGATGGTTGATGGCTATAATGATATATCAAATCTCCGACCTATTACATCTTGCACAGGAGAAGCACATTGAAATGGCTCCCCTGCATAGGATTGGACCCGCGCATGGCCACGCCATCTGTCTGGTGCTGCCGTGTCGTCCCCCCCCCCCCCCCAGAGACCGGTTTAAACTCGCGGCTTGCATGATGGTCATGAAATGAATCAATGAGACGCTGTAGCTGCAGAGTGCAAGACAGGCAGCCAGCAACGGCAACGCCAAGGCCAAACGTTTCTGGCGGAATGAAATTGCGCAGAGACGAACGGCGGTCAACTCGTCTTGGCCTCGCGCGCCCACAAACAACCTCTCCCCAGCGACCGTCGCGGTTGCGCCGAGTTTGTCTTAGCACAGGGCTGTCTGTCCCATCTAGAAATCTAGGGAGCCCCATTGCACATCACACTTTCACACCTTCCAGATTCGACCACACCTCGGGAAGTTGCCGGGATGAATGCCCTTTCACAGTGTGGATGTGATTAACGTCTATCCTCTAACCAATACGGAGACGCCGAGCTCTGGAGAGGGGAGGGGGGGGTTGACACGGGGAACTTGCTCCAACCCTTCACAAAACAGTCTGTTCTCTTTTGGGTACACGAGTCTGTTATTCCTGGTTCGTTGTTCCTTGGCTGGGATCATTCGTCCCGAAGTCCACGGATCAGCCCACAACGGTGAAGGGGACAAGGTGCGGAATACGGGGAACTTTTTTTTTTTATTTTTTTTTTGTTTTACCTTGTCTTTCATCCAGGAGAATTCCGTTTCCTTGTCCGCCCTGGTCCTGGTCATGAACGTCTGGCTGGGGTCGTGGACTTGTCCAAGGGACCTACATTGGCTAGGGGAACCCCTGCGCGTCATGGCCAGAAGGGCAGCGGCCAAACGAGAAACAGACTGGAACCAGCAAGCCTGTACATATTAGAATACAGCAGGTGATTCAGGGCACAGGCACCCGGGGAG